ACTCAAGTAACTTGGTTCTTAAGTCTTGGTCATTGATAAAGATGGACAGCTGAGTTTGAATACTTGAAACCGACGAGGCATGATCTCGGTCGAAAGGGAAGAATGAATTCTCGCCGATATAAACATGCAAATAGGCGATGTAGGTTCCATGACCTCAGGTTGCTGAGGTAATAGAACCCAGGGGGCAGTTATGGGGACATATTTTGTGAATGACAGCATGTGGCCAAGGTGACGCCAGAGTGTCAGTCGAGGTGCCACGTGGCCTGGTCCTAACGCTGAGGTGATCTCAGCTAGGCCGAGATTGTTTGCGGAGATGCCGGAATCTGAGATGAGCGGATAAGGGACAAGAGTCCTAGAATAGGGGAGGATCTCAATCTGGATAAAGATAAAGCACTTGGGGAGTTTATCCCTATCTAACTGAGAGTCCAGGATAAGCATTGAGCCTGAGTCTACTGAAGTGAGGCTTCTATAGGGATCAGGTCAGTGCTGGCTTTAAAAGCAGGGCATCTCCGTTGGTTTGAGGTATGTGTAATATATTGTGAGCAATAAGTTTTTTCTTGTGAGTTAAGCATAATTTGCTATCTTTAAAAGATATTAGATAACTGACTTGAGCGTCGGAGTGCCCTCGGGTGGATGAACCACTGCCGGATTCTTATCTTTCTGCGACAGATTGTTCGGGCTTAATCTATTCTGCCGATACTTTCCAGCTGAGTTTCCTGTTTGGTTGTGTGGTCAGAAATCAACACCCACAGTTTGAATTTTTTTGGTGTGTAAATATAGCAGGGAGAGATTGGGTCATTGTTGTGACCCTTTACTTGTTGTTCCTAAAAACCTTTTTTTTTTTTTTTTTGGCAAACCAAGTCTCGTCTTCTCAAGGGGTTCTCTTCTGGCAAGGGAAGCCACTCTCCCACTGCAATCACCACACCTACAATGAGGTAGAGAGAATACAAATTTCTCACAAAATCAGCCAACTCAACTAAGTAATTTCATTCTCTTATTCCTCCATAAGTCTATGCTTCGTTTTTAAATATATAAAAATAAAAAAAATAAAAAGTAACTTATTGATAATAATAATAATAATAGACATTGCAATCGACAGATTGGGAGGGAATTGAGAAAAGACACCCAAAATACATTAATACCGATTATCTTCAGTAAATCAATCCAGGGGATCAGCTCCTTGTTAAAAAATTCTTCATTCCTTGATAATCATAGGCTCCGTAAAACTTAGTAGAACAATAATTCTCAAGTTATGTTCTCAAACCCTCATGTTTTAGTTCAAACCACTAAATCGCCAATCCCTAAAGATTGCAGGGATTAACCCAACACAAACCTTAATATGGCGAAATGTTACTCTACACATACCATGCCATGTTAGAAGGGAGAAGCACATGAGCTGCAAATTTATTCCCAACTTTACATCTCTACACTTCATTTATACATACATATTCATCGTACCATATATATAGATGTCAAAGAGAAGTCTGTCAGAGAATATTGGTGTTGAACAGGAGAGTGCAGCCATCATAGTTGCCTTAGCAGTGACGTTGCCAGTCAACGGTCATCAAAACCTTTGAGATCCATCGAAATTCTACAAAGATACAAGTTGGAGGAGGACTCTGTAGACAACAATTTTTTGACTTTGTTTGTCAAAAAAAATAAAAATAAAAATAAAATGTGCCATTTTTAGACACAGCAGGAAACAGCAAGCAAGGAGTCACATTCCATGGCGGGAATGGTGTGTTTGTTGCGAAATCTTTAGCGACTAATTTTTTGATTCAATCGCAAATGGCTTTGGTTTTGCCAACAAAATGACAACGAACAATTCAAAATTTGTTGCAAAACCTTAACTTTCAGCGACCAAATTTTGTTTAGTCGCTAAACTTAATCGCCAAAAGTACTTTTCTTTGTGGTGTTTAAAATGTAATGACTAAATATTAAGTTGTTTGTGTCAATTCAACAACAAAATTATTAATTATTTAGTTTTATAATATATGAATTTTTTTGAACGGCTCGAAATTGTAATACCATTTTAAAGCAAGGCTTGGGAGAGATTTTTAGCTCCAAAATTGGGCTAGTCTACGCATGAGCACAAAAAAGTTTCGATATTTGTTACTTTAAGCCCGGTCCAACCCTGGCCCAATTTGATCTTCAGCCACCCCTTGATGCATTGCTTATGTTTTGTCAAAATGGCTTTCTCAAATTAATTTTTGTTGAGAACCAATTTTTATTCACATAATTAATCCTTATTCAGTTTTAGATTGCCCTCGGACTAACATAAATGGAGACAATGTTGAATTTGCAAATGGAAAGATTAAAACAATTTGATTTGTTTGTGCTACAGGTTACAAATGCACTGTGACAAAATGTGACAAAATTGCTATTAAGATTAACAAATTAATTAGGCCTACTTCACTTCGTCAAAATCTTCTAACTGTATTACAAAGCCTGGGTTCAAATCTAATTATAGACAAAATTTCCTTTTGCTGATTTTTTTTTTAAATTAAAAAAAATTTAAAAAGGCTAAAGATTACTTAAGTCCTGGTTCAAATCTAATTATAGACAAAATTTCCTTTTGCCAAACTTTTTTTTAAAAAATTTAAAAACGGTTACTTCAAAATCGTTCGATTGGTGATGTGATGCCTTGTTTCATGTTGAAGGTACAAACACAACGCTTTGATAAATATTCATGAGTTTTTTATTTATTTATTTTTTCATTTTTTGCGTCTGGTATTAATAAAATCCTAAATGAATGAAGTGATTGTGGGAACTAAGGGACCACTTCAGGGCAATTTCATTTTTTATCAAATAAATGACCAAATATCTCATATGAGTGTGAGATCTGTAATTTTGTAGACCTCACATCCATATGAGACATTTAGTTATTTATTTGGTAGAAAATTTGAAACCAATAATATTTTTCACCATTTTATATTCTTTTTGAACTAATAATCATCTTGTTTGGTTTGGTTTTGTTTTTAAAATTTATTCTTTTACAAAAATAAAAAACACTTATCATTTTTTTTATAGTTTTTTTTTCTCTTTTGAGGTAAAAATAATTTTAAAATTTTAAAAATATCTTTACGACATTTATTTTTATCATTTTTATTTTTAAAAACGGAATTTTCAGTTTAAGAACCCTAGTTTTAGAAGGATAAGGACTACATAATTTTCTATATTAGTTTAGATCTTCCAAAACACATGGTGAAAAAAATTGATAACTTTTTTAACTCATTTAAAAATTTGAAAATTTTATGAAGTTTTATTTAGATCTCAATTTTCTATAAAATTTATATTTTTTGAATCGTTTCAGCAAGAGTCATGATGAAAAAAAAATTAACCAAAAAAAAGAGATGAGGAAATTTTACTAACCTAAGATAGTTTAGTGAAATTTCGGTTGGTTAGTAAAATTTTGATGACCAAGTCTAAGTCAATAAAATTTTGGCTGGTTAGTAAAATTCCAATGACCAAGTAAGTAAAATTTTGGCTGGTTAGTAAAATTACAATGACCAAGTCAGTGAAATTTTGGTTGTTCAATGAAATTTCAATTTCAGTTGGTCAGTGAAATTTCGATGATCAAGTCAGTGAGTCAGTGAGATTTTGGCTATTTTTTCTTCAAAATTTCATATTACAATCTTGTTTGAAACATCTTGTCAATAAGATTCTAAAAATATAAATTTTACAAAAAATAGAAATGTAAATTAAAAGTTATTAAATTTTAAAATCACTTAAATAATATAAGAGGTGAGATAAAGGACATAAGCTACTAAAATAATAACACTATAACATTGAAGGATCTTAATTAGGAAGGAAAATTATTTTTAACCCCTCCTACTACCAAACTATATAAATGATGTATTGCTAATTTTTCCTTTAAAAAAAATCAAAAAATATACTAAAAATGAACCAATCAGAATGAATATGTTGAAATGTAAATTACATATATATCTAATTTGGAATATAATTGTGAGAAAACATGTGAATCCTACAGTGTTGCGAGGCCATACTTTCTCATAATTGCAGTCCAATTAAATTGGGGTTTTCTTCACATTACTTAACATGTGAATCCTACAGTGTTGCGAGGCCATACTTTCTCATAATTGCAGTCCAATTAAATTGGGGTTTTCTTCACATTACTTTATCAAAATTTTCATTTTCTGTGATATTTTTTTATTTTTTTTTGTAAATCTGTATGATAATACTAATTACTCTGCCTCTTCTTTTTTCTTTTTTTCTTAAATATAATTACTCTTATATATATATATGAGAAAACATGTGAATCCTACAGTGTTGCGAGGCCATACTTTCTCATAATTGCAGTCCAATTAAATTGGGGTTTTCTTCACATTACTTTATCAAATTTTTCATTTTCTGTGATATTTTTTTATTTTTTTTATGTAAATCTGTATGATAAGACTAATTACTCTGCCTCTACTTTTTTTTCTTTTTTCTTTTGTTTTTAATATAATTACTCCTATATATATATACATAATTTTTATTATATGAATTTTTTTCTAAAAATTTAAAGTGGGCTTGGAATGTCCTATTATTAATTCCATGGCGATCAAAGATTCCCATTGGTTCAGAAACCACTATCATGGGCTTCCCCATTTCAATAAAATAAGACTAGCAACCAACTTCCAATTAATTTAAGCATTTACTATTATGCAGCATAAAAAAAAATGCCATGGTGGATATAAGAATAAATGAAAAATAAGAAAATTGATTACAAATTCAGGAAAATTAGCTTGGTCTAGTTTTACAAGTTATAATTTTTTGCTTGCATCATACACAATTATCAATTGCACCAAACACAATTTTTAGGTACACCACTAATTTAAAATTAAAATTTCATTTTCATTTATATGATATACCCATAAATACATAACCAAACCCTGCAATTGTAAGTCCATTAAAGAGACCTGTGAAACAATTGTGATCGTTACAATGATGAAAGTACAACCACAATACCCAAAAAAAAAAGAAAGAAAAAAAGTCAACTAAACATCCAATTGCTCTAGCTGAACATCCTTGGTCTTCAAAGGAACATAATCGCCTAAATAAACTTCGAGATGATCCGAAAGGCTTGACTTGTCGATATTTTCATGGTGGTATGATTTACAGACGAAGTAGATCACCGTTTGAATAACAAGTCCGAACAAAAACAGCTTAAAAAGCAGCAAAAAACACAGTATCCCAAACACGACCCTACTGAACCCACCCAGCTCTCCATAAACAACAACTTTTTGAAATAAAATTTGTATCAAAACCAGACTAAAATTCAACTTGAAGAAGACGACTATGGCGATCCACATCTTTCCCTTTATCAAGTCCTTGCTCTTAAGCATGGCTCTAAGCCCTTTATAATCCTCCAACACCGACACAACGCTAGCGAGTTGCCAAACAATGGTGAGGTACAAAGACCCAATAACGTAGATGATCCACAAAACGAAAAAAACAAACCAACCAAGTTTCGTAAAGCCTACAGTGAAAAACCATAAAACTATGGTTAGGAAAGCGAGAACATGGTATGCGAAGAAAGCGAGGAAGGCGCACAAGAAAGTGATCATGAGTCTTTTCCAGACTTTTGGGACGACGCTCATGATTTTCTTGAAAGTGATATCACGTGCGGTGTAGACGCATGCGATGGTGTAGACCACCGCAGCGGTGGAGAGGAGAGAGAAGACTAGGAGGAAGGTGAAGTAGATGAATTTGAATAGCAAGAAGGTTGTCCATTCGGAGGAAATAAGGTCGGAGAGTTTGTTGTATTTCTTGGTGCCTATCGGGGTTTCGTCTAGCTGGATTTCGGTGCGGACGATCTTGGAGATGAGGAAGTTGGAGACTTCGATTTGGGCTAGGAAGATGAAGGTGAGTGGGAGGATTAGAGCTAGGGTGATTTGGCTGAAGATCTTTCTCCATGAGATGATGATCTTGTAGGACTCTCTGTAGATGCCAAAGAGTCCTAGGAATTGCATCTCTTCTTGTTCTCTGTCCATGATTACTGTTTATCTTCTTCAATCAATGGAGATGGGAAGCTGGAGAGGGGACAAGAAGAGAGGGAGGTATATGAGGTGGAGATGGTGGTTTCTTGGGAGGAATATAAGAGATTGGATTGGACTTTTTGTCCATCAAATTGCCCTGAGTTTTCCAATGATCCACCACCTTACCAAGTCAAAGCCCCCTTTTTGTCTGTTCCTTGTGATTTTTCTTTATTTGCCCCTCATGCCTTTTAATATCCTATTGGGCATGAAAAATAAAATGGGGGTCTTATTGTGTTATTTACGACTAATTTTTATTTTTTATTTTTTTTTTCACTTGGATGTAAACAGCAAATGTCATATAAAAAATTAATCAGTTATTTTGCAAAAAATAATGACAGATTCTATTATTTTTCATTGGGTCTAAATATCCATGAAAAGATAACCATAAAATTATCCAAAATAATTAATCAACGGTTAAGATTTATTCATGCTATAAGCCCATAATAATAATTTTAAATTTCTTATCTTAGGTAGATTTGTTAATTTTTTTCCTGAAAACCCAGACTATTAAAAAAAATTGTAAGTCCAATATAAACGCATGTTTATTGTATAAATTACGTAATAAGTAAAAATAAATAAAATTTATTTAGTGAAAAATATCACTTTAAAAAAAAAAAAATCTTTGTCACGCCCTTACACACATTCAAATAACCAAACACACAAGCATAAATATTTTAAATTTTTTGTGGGTATAGCATACCTATGTAACTAAGGTAAAGTTTGGAGAATCTCAAAAAAGTTAAAACGTCAAAAAGTTATTCAAAAAGTTAAAAAGTTATCATCATTTATCAAAAGTCGACAATTACAACTGCACAACTTCTAATACTAATTTTCCCTTATACATTAATTTATACAATTTTTTAATACATATTTTTTCACAAAAAATCAAAAAATTAACTCACGCATTCATATTTTCAACCTCAACTTTTTAGTCTAAAAAGACAAAAAATGCACTTATTTAAGACACCCAAAACAACCCCTAAGGCTTAATAAGGCTTAATTCATATATTTAACTCATCTAATCTAAGGGGTTCAATTTTTAAAACAAAAGAAATATATATATATATATATATATATCATCAGCTGCTATCCATGAAATTTCACAATAAAGTTAGATACCTCATAGGAATTAGGAAATATATATTATTGTTTGTTTTTTATCCTAGGTAGAATCAGAATTTCATTACCAGATGAGCTAAAGACAAATAATCTGTGGGATTCTGCTTGCCTGTGTTTGCTCCCCATTTGAACCCCTTAAATAGTGCAAAATATAAAGATAATGTAAGATGGTAGAAGAATGAAATATATATACATATATATTTTACTATCTGCTCTGGAAGTTCTTCCTGTGGTTTTTTAACCAGTTATTTATAGGCTAGTTAACAGTATTTGTGGGATTCTGCTACCTGTGTTTGCTCCCCATTTGAACTCCAATTTGCATCCCATAATTTGCTGCCTATGATGGAGTTAACAGTATTTGTGCTCCATCTTATATTTCTGCTGCCTGTGTTTGCTCCCCATTTGAACCCCTTAAATAGTGCAAAATATAAAGATAATGTAAGATGGTAGAAGAATGAAATATATATACATATATATTTTATACTGAGAATATATTTTATTTATACAATAAAATATATATTGTCAAAGTGTTATAGTAAACATAATTTTTCAGAGAAAGTAGGGACCATGACACCCCATAATTTTCTCCTAATTTCATTCCTGAATATACACAATATTTATTTATTTTTTAAAAGATTATTTTATATAAATAAATTTCATACCATTAGTACTATTACTTTTATATCTTGTGGTGAAAAAATTGAGCAAATTTTTTTTTTATATATAACATTATTGTTTATTTTTTGGTTCCTTAATAATGATAAAGAAAAGAGTATGAATTAAAAATAAACAAATAGCAAAAGGAGAATACTAAAAACATAAAAGGTGGGGCATAACCGTAGATTAGTATGAGATGAGGGGTTGTGATGGAAAGAAAAAGCATCTTTATACCCGAAATGGACGGCGACGACCGGTTCATCGGTTCTTTCACGCGGAGGCGAAGTTTCTGAGGAAAGTCTTTGTTACAATTTTCAGCCCCTTAGTTGGTGAGTCAACACACTCATCCTCTTCCTCTTTCTAGGACTATTCCTAGGCTGATTCTAATTACAACACAAAATTATCTCATTATAACTTTGGATTTACACAGCAGTGACTATTGTGATTCATTTTGTAGTGCATTATGGGATCATTTTTATGATCTGAACCGTTCATTTTGTAAAGTTTGTTGAGTACATCAAGACTACCAAAAATCATATTAATCGGATACCAATAACTATATGATTGATAACCAAAAAAAATAAACAAGAAGTTTTTCTTTTAAAAAATAGTAAAAAAATATGCAATTCGATCATATAGTTGTTGATATCCGATTAATATGATTTTTGGTAAGCTTGAAGTACTTAACAAATCCTACAAAATGAACGGTTCAGATCATAAAAATAAGCCCATAATACATCACAAAATGAACCACAACAGTCACTGCTGTGTATTTACCACAGCAGTGACCCATAATCCTATAACTTTAAAAATTAAAATTTTTATTTTATTTTTTTATAATGTCATTACTACCCTTATTCCTACCATTCACTCTTCTCCTTTCACTAAAATCTTTCAAACTCTAATTTCTTCACCTCCAATAGATACAATTACTGTCGCCATCTACAATCGCCGCCACCAACCACCACTATGCAAGCCTTCATCATCGTTGCCGTCACCCTGAAACTATCTCCGTAGCCTCACCGCCGCTATGACCACCTTTTCTACAGCCCTCCATCGGCAACCCAACCCCACTGCCATCATGACCACGTCCCTCATCTCCATCGTCAAAACCCAGCTCCACTCATTGCCGCTCCACTACGAATAGCACTGCCATCCCATCGCACACAGTCCTACCCTCACATTCGCCATCGCAGCCTAGCCTATCACCCTTTTTCCATCGCGAACAGAACACACACACACACACACACAGAAAAGAGAAACCAAATCTATTTCAGATTTGAAAGAAGAAGAAGAAAGAGAGTAAGAAAGAGGAAGGTGACGACAGGGGGAGATGAGGGCAACAACGTACAGGGCTTGGGTAAATGGAAAAGGTGGTGGAGTGGTAGCGAAGTGGTAATGATGGTGGTAGGGCGATGAAGGTGGTAGTGATAGAGTGAAGGTGAAGAAAGTAAGGTTTGAAAGGTTTAGGTGGAAAGAGAAGAGTGACCAGTAGAGATTACGGTAGAAATTGTATTGTAAAAAAATTTTAAAAATAAAATAAAATTTTAAAATTGTAAGGACGTAAGGAGATAGTTTTGTGGGATTATTCTATTTTCATATGCCAAACCCTTTTAGTGCATATCTCTTCTCAAAGTACACACTTAATGATTTTCAAATATCAAGTTTGCTCAATTCACAACCTTCCTTGCCAAAAATACCCCTAACTCCTTTAAACCTTCAAATCTAACCTAACCCTAGCCACCACTCGTCGCCACTACCATCATCACTATGAACCATTGCACACTCCGGCCACCATCACAAGCCTCTTATCTCATCTCCGTTGCTACCACCATCTCCAGTGGCCTTCCTCGACCTTCCGTTACCATCCTCTTTGCACATCCATTCCTACCTAGTCTTCTTTGACACCCTACCTACAACCCCTGCCACTCACAACTCCTCACCTACGACACATCAACCCTCTCCACACTCAAGCAACCACGATATAGAGAAATTCATAGAAAGAGATCACAGGCGACTACAGTTTTAAAGAGAGAAATCATGGTAACTTGGGCTTCGTATAGAGATAAAGAGATTGTGACTATGATTTTGGCATAAAGAAGATGATGGTTGCAAGGGTATTAGAGAGGAACTACAAACTGAGTTTGCAATGATGGAAAGCTCATGGTAATAGGGATTTCGTGACAGTAGAGTTGCAACAATGGTGGTTTGTGGTAGTGGCTAGGGTTAGGTTTAGGAAGTTAAGATTTTGATAAAGAAGATTAGGACACTTTGATAATTTTATTTTAGTACAAAATTATAATAAAATAAAATACCATGAAGTATATGAACAAAGAGGAAATGAGATATGAAAATAGAAGCTCCTAGTTTTAGAGCCTAATTACAAAATTACCCTTCATTTTTCTCCATTCCTGTAGCCTAATTACAAAATTACACTTCATCTTTTTTTTTCTTTTTTTTTTCTTGAACCCAACAATGTTATGACTTTCTAGATTTAGGTATTGAATTTCGAATAGGGAAATTCTATACCACATACCCTCTAGTTATGACATTTGTGATTTTTAGTTATGATTCGTTGGGATGTTAGTTATGACATGGTTATACGAAGTTGAGGTGACTATTGTGCCCTCCGTACAACAACCATTGTTGTGTGGTTGATGGGCCTCATTTCGTGGTCCATTTTGATGATTTAAATCATTCACTTTTTAGGATACATTAAGTAGAATATACTTGTAAAAAATCAAGTTGATTGAACATCGATAGCCCTTTCATCAAATTGCATTTGTATGTAGTTTTATATTTCAAATTATATTTACCATTTTTTTTTTTAGATACAAGGGCAATTCGATAAAAGGCTATCGATATCCAATCAACTTAGTTTTTTACAAGTAAATTATACTCGATGTACCCTCAAAATTGAACGGTTCGGATAATCGAAATGAGCCTTGAAATGAGGCCCATTAGCCGCATAACAGTGGCTATTGTGTGGGGGCATAACAGCCACCCCAATTTTTGGGTATGCACATTGTGGTATTAGTTATCATTCATTGTGACATTGATTATGATATTATTTTATTTATTATCGAAGATCTCTTTAGTTCTATTTATGTGATGTTGAGTTATAAATTTTTTTTTTTTTTTTTTTTTTCCAGTTATGGCTTTCATTGGATTGAATTGTG